AACTTCATCATACGTAGACGCCCTATTTGTCAATCTGATTTTACTGGTTTTCATGGGATGACACAGATGCATGCCTTTTGTGTCCATGCGTGAAAGTGATCCTCAAAAAACGTGCACCTCCCCTGTGGATTTGGAACCAGGTGGATGTCCCCCTAGGCGGTATTTCCACCTGTTGGAGCGATGTCCATCCCGGGGAAAATCCACCTGGCTCGAACTGCATGTGCTCGAATGTATAGGTGGATTTCAACTGGGGGGACGTCCACCTAGTTCCAAATCCACCACCAATCCACCTGGTTGTTTGATCTGGTGGATAGAGGGTGGACGTTTTGTAAAGGATGTTAAGATGTCTTTGGAGATGGATATTTTCGTAAACGTAGAATTGAATATTTTGTTTTGAATTGAAACCTGTTTTGTTCCACTGTCCTGAACTTCGGTTTCTGACTGGGATGCTGAGGTTTCGTGGCACCCTGTACATGAGAGGTGAAGAGGTGGGGCTTCATATGGTTCTACAACTTAGCTACATGATGCTAGCAATTTGAAAGTATGCTGCCAGTCAGAAGCTCTAGCAAAACCGTATACTTCGTTTTGTCGTTCATATATTTCATTTTCTGGTTACTACGGGTAAATGGTAACTCATGGTGAACCTGAGATTAATATTTTCATGCTGGGATGCCGATGAGATGATGACCACAGGGAAGATCAAGAAAAAAAAACACGTTTTAAGAAGCTTCTGGACAAATTTTTTTATTTTTAATATAGAATATTAAACTAGAGCAAGTTAGCTGTACTGTCTGGTGTAGGGTGGGAAGCATTGAGGGAATTAGGAGACCTCACCTCCTCTTCCCCCACCTCACTAAGAGCACACGTTCATTCCGCGATACACGATATTTATTAATACGTGTTGATGACTTCATCCTTTTCGAAAATCTGTAGGCAAACCACTTCTCGGGCAGATGTGCACAGTGGCAGTCGGATGTGCCCCGGATCACAGCGCTTGCTCAGCCAGCACAAATGGCACCCTCGTCTGTGTCTGTGCCGCCGGTTATACGACCACCAATGGACTTTGCGGTCTCGTATGTCCTCAATGCAATTATCGCTGATTTTATTTTTGTATTGTGTTAATGCTGCACGTTAACTAAATAGCCACGAGTGCAACATGGAATGAATGACGGGAGAAATTAAGGGGGTTAGCTATCTCTAAAATACTGGTATAATAAATAATATTCTGGAAAAAGCCAATTTGAAATTTTGATTTTCTGAAACCAAAATGTAAGGAATTCATCTTATCCTCTTTCAAAATCAATAAAATTAAAAAATCGATCTCTTTCGTAATCACCCTAAAAAGTTGAAATTTTATACTCACACTTCACCAGTTGCAGACATAATAGAAGCCTTCTATTTGAAGGAATTTTGATTATAATTTTTTATTATTTAAAAGATTATTTGTAAAGCTGTTACATTTAAATATTTATATTTAATAATTATTTTACGAAAAATCGCTAAAGGCAGATCGTAAATCAAATGAAAATGTTACCTTTTAAACTTCAGAAACAACAAAGGAGAATAAGTGATGGATATTGAAGTTTAAAATCTAGCAGCCCGAGGAAATAAAATATAAACATAAAAGACCCCTTTTTTCGTGGAAGGCACCATAGGAAGAGGTTAAAAGCTTAAAGAAGTTTGCCATTTCAACGGATTCCTAATGCATTAAAAGTATGCCATTTTCAGCCTTTTCCGAAAATTAATATTTCCTCCCACTTTAGGGGGGAGGAGGAATTTGAAGGGGAAGCAGACTCACTCATTGGTTAAGCCAAAACTGCACGTAACTAGGAGATTTGAAATTGATGGCAATCATGAATGAGTTCCATTATCAAACTTTCTCTTCACTCTTCAGCTCTTCACTTACCTAGAGGCGTGGCACTTGTGCCACTTGCCAATTTCTCAAAATGCGACCCATGGAATTCTATGGCGATTTGACATAGTGTCAATCAATTTTTTAAAAGGAACATGTAAAGCATTGTTTCCTTGTTCCTTGTGATTTGGAGTAAGTAAGGATTAAGTAAGAAAAAAGCTAAATTACTCTAACACTCTCCATCAACCAAATAAGATGGGTAAATCCTTTATGACTAAGCAAAAATTTCAATCGTATTGGAAGGCATCAAATTTCCGCCGCATGATTAACAGAATTTTAACGCTGTTGCTTCATAGAGTACGTATGGAAATTGATATTGCCCTCGAATGGCAGTTTACTAATTGGTCTCTTGGAATGATTTTACGCATGAAGTTGATGACTGGAATTATTTCCGCAGGTGTGAAGTTGGAACTAGCCATCCACTGGTAGAAGACGAAAGGAGGATGACCTTGGCTCCGGATTTTGGACTTCTCTCTCTTCTTTTCTAACGGGAGTTTGGATGGTCGCCACCCTTGCTGATTGTCGCCCTTACCCTTACCATGGTGCAATGGCCCAATTTCAAGTTTTTCCTCAGAGGAATGAATATCTCTCTCTCTCTCTCTCTCTCTCTCAATGAATGTCACTTGGGAAGCTTCATCAACTCGCATTTTTGCATGTTATCACCTTTATATTGGCCTTCGGCGTTCTTGCTGGTAGCGTAAGCGGATATTCCATGCTTTTCCACTTCTGGTGTCGTAATCCCAGTGATATACGAAGGTGATTAGGTAGGGGGCTCAGACTTGAGCCAGTTGAATGATGAACGAAGAGAGAGTCCCCTGCTGGTCCCCCCTCCCCCCAGCGTACATTCCTGTGTGATCCCCCACACCATCTAAGCCAGGGCTTCCCAATCTTTTCCATGCACGGCCCCAAAAATCACTATCATACCTTACAGGATCCCAAACACTGGCTGAAGTTCGACACGCTCTTCCACCTGTGCACTAAAATCGCAAAGAACAACATAACTTAGTATTTAGTTTCCGGTTCGCGAGCCCAAATATTATCTCGGCGACCCCAAATGGAGTCGCGACCCATGGGTTGGGAAGCCCTGTTCTAAGTAGCCAACATTTCTTCGTTGTAAATGCAATGTGTGAGACCCGGAAATCACCGTAATTCTCAAATTACGAAGTTAGCGTCAAGACGGGAACCCCCTGGAAGTGACAATATGGCGTCAAGAGTAACAAGGCAACTTGGAGATGTTGGAAAACAAAAGACAATTTTTATTACAGTCCGGGGGCACCTTGGATGGATTTTCTAGTAACCGTCCTGCTGCCGGACGGGGTAGGACGACACTGTGAATTCCGCAACGAATTTGGACCCTAACTATATGTTTCCTTGTTTCACTGGAGCTGACGGCGTCTGTGTGCACAGGGCCATGCTGCATTATGCTAATATTTGAAGGAGATACTCGTAAGAATTACCTTTTGCTCAGTCCCAAAACTCTTAGAGGACTGAATGGACAAGCATTCTACAATATCATATGTCATAAAATATAAGTATCTAATATATATAGACGATCGTGAGTGACTGACTGATTGACGCTTATTCTAACCATGTTTTAGATATGATGAGAGGCTGAAATGTGATACATGAACAGCTGTTAGATAGCTGACTCCAGAAAAATTCAGACTTTGGGGATACATGCCCTTGGGTACCTTTTTGGGGGACTGCTTTTGTAACCCTAGGCCTATACCATTCTCTTATACACTTCCTTCAACGAAACTGGAAGGAGTTTGAATAGCTGCTACTTTGCTGACACCAGAGAAAGTCTAACTTCAAAAGTCTGACTTTGGGACACATTTCCGGTGGGGGAGGGGGGGCTGATTTCCTAGGCTTAGGCTTAACCTATGGATGGATGCTTAGCCTAACACGTCTCTCCTATTTTCTTCTTTCAATGAAATGGAATATGGACTGTTGGGTTGCAGGCTACAGAAACACTCCGACTGTGGGGGTACATTCCCCTGAAAGAACATTTCGAGGGGGACTGATTTCGGACCCACGGATGGACGCTTAGGCTAATACCACTCTCATACACTCATGCACTTTCTTTTTTCAACGAAGCGAAAGGAAAAACAAATGGCTGTTGGATTGCATACTACAGATGAAGTTGGACTTTGAAGATGCGTGCCCTGAGGGGACTGATTTCGCAGGCCTACAGTATATCTATATCTAACCCTCGGACAGACGCTCAAGCCTACGCCAATCTTGACTCATTCGCATCCAGGAGTTCTTCGACCTATGTGACCGAAAATCCTGCTGAATTAGCTTGAGGCGCGAGGCCTTTTGGCCTATGTCATTCTAGGTCATAGGCTAAGTGGAAGGACTAGACTTGATGCTTAAAGGTACGCTTGCAGATGGAAATGGGTTACATTTAATATATTTTCCCAGCAGAGAAACGGGTAAGAAAATTTTTCCTACACATTTCATTCAGCGTGGCTATGCCCAATCCACTTACGGACGCATAGATCAATGCTATATCTATGCACACACTTCTTTTAACGAAACGAGAACATGAATAGCTATCAGCTGCATTTATGGAATTACTTATTTTCACATGAACAAATGTATGTAGCCTTAGATAGGATTTGAAAAGGGGACTCGGTAGAGTCCTCGTGCCCGAATATAGATATGAATATAACGATAAAATTCCCCATAGTCTACGAAGAACTATTGCGTTGAAACGCTGAAGTGATGAGCTTGTGTGTCTGCGACTACATGTTTTTGAAGATGTATGTGCCAAGTTTGATGACCACAGGCAGGAATTAAATTCAATATAGGAACATTAAATAACACTGAATTTTTACATGCTGATTCTCTAACAAGAAGTCATATGACGCCACTATGAATTTCGTGAAGTAACTTTTTTTTAGGTGCGAGCGCAGAAGGCTCGAGAATAGCCAAACCCATTAATCAAGGGGTTTGACCGCATCCTTAGAGGTGCGCCTCGAAAACGAATGCTTTAAATGCATTTGTAATTTTATTTGATCATAATGTGCTGAGGGCGCGTCCATAACACATGTTCAGCACATATCCAACAATTGGACGCTCACTATTGGGCACGGTTTTCAACGAGGAGGAGCACCTTGCTCACTATTTGCCCTGTAGAGATGAGGGGATGGTGATCGCATTGACGTCAGGGTACATATGGCATTCACCATTAAACTAGACAGGGGTCTGATTGAAGTTTTCACAGGAAATAATGTAGTGTGAAAGTGATATGTTACGGAATTAACTTCCATTTTCACGAGTGTTGCAGAATTCCCAGATTTGCCCTACATAGCTACAGGAGGATAAAAAATTGATATCCACCTGAAACCAATTACTTTGATTTCTCCCTACATTTCGTATTTTGTGTGCTCGTGCACGCTGGAGGAGAAAATCTTGAGATTATAAATTAATTTATTCATGAAATCGTCTACATTCTAAAATCGTCTATAATTGCTTACAAGGATACATCGCCTATCGGTCTCACGAGATCGCACAAAATAGAAGTGAGCAAGATAAAGCACCGGGTTTCAAATGCCTGCGGCAGAAACGTCAGCCATTCAGTCAGATCACAGGATTCCAAACATAGAGCACAACACTCTGTCTCTCTAAACAGATGGGAAATCGTAGATTTCAAGTCTGTTTTCCTTGGAGTCGTCGTCTCCGTCTGCGAAAGTTCGACGGTCTTTTAATCCGTCTCTTTGATGAGTGAGGCGGAAATTGTTTAGGTCTGGAGACATCGATTCGATCCCCATCAGCGAACTTGATTCTCGGGAGAAGTCCAAGAGCATCTTGAATTCGTCTCACGGGAAGGGGCGGACAATTTAACATACCTGGGTATGGGGAGGACATGCAATCATGGAGGCTGGGTGTCCTCTCATACCCATACGACATTTCATGCTTCATGCGATACAAGAACTGGGGGTAACACGAGTACAACACGAAAGTGAGGAGGCAAAGGTCTTTGAAGAGCTTGAGCAGATACCAAAAATCCAACGTTCTCGTTGTAGCAGGCGAGAAGGATGTACCAGGTACACCCGGTACTCCGGGCGGCCCGGGTGGACCCCCAGGTGGCCCCGATGGTCCCGTGCTACCTTTCGTCCCCTTTGTACCTTTGGTACCTTGACCAATCATGCCTTTTGTTCCCTTGTTTCCTTTCGATCCCAACTGGCCTTTACCACCTTTCGTTCCTGAATGCAGAGATTAAATAGGGTGAAACTCTGGAGTTAGGGAGGTGAGCAAAGTATGGATGTTACTTACCTTTGACACCTTTGCTTCCTTTGACACCTATTTCGCCCTTTAGTCCCTTCGGCCCCTTTGTACCCTTCACACCTTTACTTCCTTGTGTTCCTTTCACGCCCTTCATGCCTTTCATCCCTTGACAAGAAAAGGATGAACATCATTTTGGCCTGCATGCATGGTAAAAATTGATCGTCTTGTGAGACTGAATTTAAAAAATAAAATATACCTTTTGATCCTTTCTCTCCCATAGAGCCTTTGAATCCCTTCATTCCTTCGGCTCCTTTTACACCTTTGTCGCCCTTCACACCCTGAGATCCTTTCGGTCCCTTCATTCCTTTAGATCCTGTTTCCGAGAGTTTCCAGGACAAACAAACAATATATGAAATGTTTCTCGCAGAAGGCTTTTTGCGAAGGCAAAAATATTTTTCATTGAAAAAATATAAACTTGTGTCTAACCTTTGCTTGCTTTCATTCCCTTTTCGCCCTTTGCACCCTGGCTACCTTTCATACCCTTCATGCCCTTCTGCCCCTTCGTTCCCTTATCGCCAGCCTTGCCCTTTTCGCCTTTGAAACCTAAAATTGGATTATATAGAATTTCCATGAAATATTATGCGGATACGAAGAATATACATGTCTCACTAAAAAGATACAATAGCAAATCTCCAGATTCGTAAAAAAAAAAATCACTCGAATGAACTGCATGTGACAGCGGCTAATACCTGTACCAGTGTTAACTTAGCGTTTCAGAAGGTAACTGGGGGCATTTCAGACTCCAATAATGCGATTGCGAAATGGACGAAACATTCTTTCACTGTCAATAGGACACATCAAACACAGGATCTATGTGTGAAAATGCACCTTATACCTTTTCTAGTACAAATATCATGGAACATACTTTTCTCAACGGCAGAATTCAGGTTTGAATTTCGTAATTTCGCACTTTCTTACTTCATTTTGTGAACATTTTGAACATCTTAAACGAGTACTGATGGTCACTTTCAATACCAATACTGCGCGCTCACCTTTAATGCCCTTCGTGCCCTTTCCGCCTTTCATACCCTTTGTTCCCTTCATTCCCTTTTCTCCTTTTGATCCTTTCACGCCTTTCGTTCCTTTCGTACCCTTCGTTCCCTTTTCTCCAGCGCTGCCTTTAATCCCTAGAGGAAGAAATATATATTTGTAAATATTGCCCGTGACGGAGTACGCTTATGAAAACTCGCGTGATGCTGTTGTCATATTGATGTCATGGAAGCTTGAAGATTTTATGACTGGGAGACACGCTTACCTTTCATTCCTTTCGGTCCCTTTTCACCTTTGAAGCCTTTCTCACCCAATACACCCTTTTCACCTTTCTTGCCTTTAGCTCCCTTTTCTCCCTTTCCACCTTTCATTCCTTGCACACCTATGGATGCGAGTGCACATACGGAGACAATGCAGTGTAACAAAACCACATAAAGATAAGCATTCCATAACTTATTAATACTTTCAGTGGAGAGCGTACCTTTCATTCCCTTTTCACCTTTATCTCCTTTGAACCCCTTCGTTCCTTTGATACCCTTTGATCCTTTTGATCCTTTGACACCCTTTATCCCTTTTGCACCCTCGAGGCCCTTGCTTCCCTTCATGCCTGGAAAATTGTGTTTTCGTGAAGTGCTCAGCATAATATAACTACATGATCGCTTTTAGTTTCTGTAATATTCGATAAGAAAAACGTAGCATCACTCACCTTTTTCTCCTTTCGGACCTTTAATTCCCTTCTCGCCTTTGGTACCTTTCTGGCCCTTTCCTCCTTTCACTCCCTTTTGCCCCTTGTCACCCTTCATTCCCTTTCGTCCTTTAGTGCCTGGATTTCGGTTATTTTCCCAAAGAGGTTGTGTTTTTAAAACAAAAAAAACAGTAAAAACAAATGGAGTGAAATGAATTCACAATAATGTCACGAGTGATCACATGCGTGGTTTAATGTCATGCACAGATTCAATCTCTTAAAGGTCACCGTCAACAAAGTCACGAAAAATTCAGAATATTTACTTTAAATTTGTTTGAGAAAACATACTGAATGTAAATTGTAAGCTATTTCAGAGAAAGGAATGCAGTGAAATTTACAGTATTTATTCATATTCAGAAGCTATAAAATAAAATGAGGCAACTGACCTTTAAGTCCCTTCTCGCCTTTTTCGCCTTTGCTTCCCTTCATTCCTTTGAACCCCTTCTCCCCTTTGAGACCTTTAGTGCCCTTGATTCCTTTCATCCCTTTCTCGCCCTTCCCTCCTGTGAAAATTATGAGTCACTGTAACATATATTTCGAAGAAAACCCGAAGCTATCGACAGATTCCTCACCTTTGAGACCTTTTTGTCCTTTTCCTCCCTTTGGTCCTTTCATGCCCTTCTGTCCTTTTTCTCCTTTAGTTCCTTTCTCTCCCTTGAAGCCCTTCTGCCCTTTTGCTCCTGCTCACAGAAAAGAGAATCTCCTCTATGAGAGAAAGACTGCCATTTCCTTATAGAGAGAAGTTGCCGTACCTTTTTGTCCCTTGCTTCCTTGTAGTCCTTTCATTCCTTTTTCTCCTTTAGCGCCTTTTGATCCCTTCGTGCCCTTTAACCCAGTCTGTCCCTTCTGTCCCTTCTCGCCTTTTAGACCTAATAGGAAATTGAAGGTTTGATAAGCACTCCGCATGATTAAACTCTTAAAAACATGATCAAATGATCCAAGGAACGGATTGCAAACCTTTGATTCCTTCAGATCCCTTTTGTCCCTTCAGTCCCTTTTCACCTTTTGCTCCTTTCAAACCCTTCATTCCCTTCTCTCCCTTTGTCCCTTTCTCTCCTTTTGAACCTAGAAACGAGCAAGATGCCTTGAGTTTCGTTTGATGGGAGGTGTTCAATGAGAATTTAGTATCGTCTTACCTTGCATTCCCTTGATCCCCTTTTGACCCTTCCCTCCTTTGACACCCTTTTCGCCCTTGGTGCCTTTCTCTCCCTTCAACCCTTTTTCTCCTTTCACCCCCTTTTCTCCTTTCATACCTATGTTTGTGGAAGAAAGTAAAGTGATTTTGCATATTGGCTAATTCACATATCAGCGGTGACTTGCTCATAAACCCATTGACACTTGACTCACCTTTGGAACCCTTCATTCCCTTCACACCTTTGAAGCCTTTCATTCCCTTTTCTCCCTTTGCACCTTCGATGCCTTTAGAGCCTTTGACTCCCTTTTCCCCTTTACTCCCTAGAAGAGTTGAGGTGGGTGGGTTGAACATGAAATATTTTGCACTTGTGGAATTACATTATTTTTAATCGAGCTGTTGGCAGGCATTATAATTGGCTATTAAGTTCATTGGGACTTTAGAGTTAGAATGTAGTGATAGGGCACTGAAGATTGGCTCCTAAGAGGTGCCATTCGTATCCAGCAGATCCAAAAAATGGAAGAAAATTGGGAAATCAGAAGAGACAATGAGAGATTACTGAGTACTCTTCCATACTCTCGGTAATGTATCACTTTTTTGCACATCTAAATGCATAACATTTAATTAGGCAGGGATTATCGAACAGAGACTTTACTGTTATTCGTTGCAGTAAAACTTTTACATGTTTGATACGGGTACTATTCTAAACACATTCATACGGCTCCTTATTTTTTGGTCCTCAGTCGCACACAAGCTACGCTTGAAAAGTCATAGATGCGTTACCAATTAGAGTTTAGAATACTTTCACTAGTTCAATTGCGTATTTCAAGATGTGAAGGTAGTGATGGCATATGCAACATTTTAAATATGAAATCTGTATTTATTTTATAACGAAATACCAGATATTGGCCAAAAAGAGAAAACCAACCCTTCATTCCCTTGTCTCCTTTCAACCCCTTAGCTCCTTTAGAACCTTTGCTCCCTTGGTTCCCTTTCACGCCCTTCGTCCCTTTCATGCCCTTCTCACCCTTCACGCCTTTCATTCCCTTGGCACCTGCAGCAAGAAGTAAACCGAGTCAAGACAAAGCCGAGAGAAAATTTGAACCAGAAAGCATAAACAGGAGGACGCTAAAAGTAAAAAAAGCAAGATTTTCATATTGGTAATGGTTATCATTGCAGTTCTGAAATCCAAGGTTTTGGAAGACGATAATGTTAGAGAGCTCTCACCCTTCTCTCCTTTGACACCCTTGTCACCTTTTCCTCCTTTTGTTCCTTTGAAACCTTTTACTCCTTTCGTACCTTTTGCCCCTTTCTCTCCTTTCACACCTTTATCTCCCTTAGGACCTTTCATGCCCTTACCACCTGCCAAAAGGCAATAATGACAGGATAGCGCACACAACATCTGGAAACATCCTGGACAAAATTATTTTGTCAGGAATTTATTGTCAAATACCCCTTACCTTTCGCTCCTTTCATGCCGTCCTGTCCCTTCAAACCTTTCTGGCCCTTGGTACCTTTTGTTCCTTTGGCTCCTTTCAGTCCTTTTTCACCTTTCGTACCTTTCTCTCCTAATTTCATGAAATAGTTGAAACATTGAGTCGTATTGTCAAACTTGAAGGGGAAAGGTGGAGGAGAAGCGATTATGCTTACCCTTGTGGCCTTTGCTTCCTTTGAGTCCTTTTACGCCCTTCTCGCCTTTCATCCCTTTCAACCCTTTTAGTCCTTTAACTCCCTTCGAACCCTTATCTCCTTTCATACCTGGGATTTTAACATTCATTTTGGGAAGACATTAGGCGTGAGTTCACGGAAGCCTTGAGGGAAAAACGCTCAGCAACACAATGACATCACAAGGACTCACCCTTTTCTCCCTTGCCGCCTTTATCTCCCTTCACTCCTTTTTGGCCTTTGCTTCCTTTAGTTCCTTTGAATCCTTTCATTCCTTTAAATCCCTTCTCGCCCTTCATTCCCTTTTGACCTAATTTGAATGTGCAGCGGGAAAAAAAGTGGAAAAAGCAAAGTTAATGTAAGTTAATTCTGAGAGATGATTTAGCATGCAATTATATATATTGTATCATGCGTATGAATAAGTAGCAGCATTTTTATGCGCATCATAACTTGAAGAGGAAATTGTCATGAAAAATTTATCCAGGCGAACAGGTACATTATGATGATATTTTTATGACTCACTGACCTTTTGAACCTTTGAAGCCCTTCATTCCCTTCTCTCCTTTTCCTCCCTTCTGTCCCTTATCACCTTTGCTCCCTTTCATGCCCTTTATCCCTTTCGTTCCTTTGCTGCCCTTCGTGCCTGAATGGCAATTTCATACATGTCTCAGATTTCAAAGGGTCATCAAAGACGCTGGAAAGAGTTTAAGATAGAATATCCATCATCGTTGAAAGTTGTACCTTTTGTTCCTTTTACTCCCTTGTCCCCCTTTGTCCCTTTCGTACCCTTCATTCCCTTTTCACCTTTTCCTCCTTTTGATCCCTTCATCCCTTTTTCACCCTTAAGCCCTAGGAAAAAAAATTAAGAAAAAATGCACAAAAAACTGTTATAAACAAGTATTAAATGCCATGATCCTTTTGGATTGAACGGAGTGCTTGCTCACCTTTCAATCCCTTCTCTCCCTTCATGCCCTTGGTGCCTTTCTCTCCTTTTCTTCCCTTCTCGCCTTTTAATCCTTTCACACCCTTGTCTCCCTTACTTCCTGAAAGAGAGAATTTCTTTAGCAGAGGCTGCAACACTCTGGAAAAACTGGAATAGGTTGATCCTCTACTCAATATTCATATCAAGCATATAGCTCACCCTTGAAGCCTTTTGCGCCTTTTGGTCCTTTTTCACCCTTCAGACCCTTGATTCCCTTTTCTCCTTTTGAGCCTTTAATTCCCTTCTGGCCTTTTTTGCCTTTGTCACCTTTCGTTCCTAAGTTGAGAGATATGCAATGTATGAGCCAGTTGATGAGTCAAGTCAAGAAAGAAAAAAAGACGCTCATTTACTCACCTTTGGTACCCTTCAGTCCTTTGAACCCTTTGATTCCCTTCATTCCTTTGGTTCCCTTCATCCCCTTCATTCCCTTCAGTCCTTTCTCTCCTTTCCCTCCCTTGAAACCTATAATAATACTTTGCTATGCAATTGCTTGCAGTAGGAATCTTCATTCGAGATGAATACAATATTTAATAATGCTGACCTTTGATGCCTTTCATTCCCTTCTCGCCTTTTTGACCCTTCATCCCCTTTTCTCCTTTCGTCCCTTTAGTTCCTTTTGAACCTTTCTCGCCTTTTACTCCCTTGAAGCCCTTTGCACCTTTGAGACCTGAAAAAAAACGAGGATTTCCATCCAACTCTTATAGAAAGTATTTCTGTCTGACAATCGCTCAGCAGAAGAACGTAGCTTACCTTTAGCGCCCTTTTGTCCTTTCAAACCCTTCTCCCCTTTGAAGCCCTTAAATCCTTTTTCACCTTTTGACCCCTTTGCACCTTTAAATCCCTTTTCACCTTTCATCCCTAAAACAAGTGAAAAACACATTGGATTCATTTCCATATTGAAGACAGGACAATGAACAGTGCAATTGCAGTTACCTTTGGATCCTTTCGTTCCTTTGGAGCCCTTCATGCCTTTTAATCCTTTTTCTCCCTTCATTCCTTTCGTTCCTTTCACACCTTTCGTTCCTTTGGTACCTTTCGAGCCTTTCTCACCTGGATATAAATGGAATGTGAGAGAATGCCTGGAATAGCATGAAATTAATCCTACATAGAAATATAGTCTTACCCTTAACTCCCTTCTCGCCTTTTGAGCCCTTCATGCCCTTCTCACCCTTAGTACCCTTCATCCCCTTGATACCTTTTAGTCCTTTCTCTCCTTTTCCTCCTTTGCTTCCCTTTGGACCTTTCATTCCCTTCTCACCTATGAAAGAGAGCAAGTGGGAGGATAATAAGAGCATGAAAGGAGACAACCCTGAGCACTCAAAGAAAGAAAACTCTATTAGTAGATAGTGCGAAGGATATGCCACTAATTCTATTTTTTTTATTAGCTTCAAAAATCATGATTCACGAAATTAGAAAAACTGTAACAATATAGAGCTAGGGTCCATGCCTACAGAAAAACAAAAACTGAAATATGATATTTAAAAGTACAAGCAGCACGCAAGCAATTGTAATGAGACATGATGAAAGGTGTAAATCCAACGTCTGCAATGGGACTGCAATTGCCGACCGCCTGCGCTCAGTCAAGCTGGAACGTGCCTAGCAAGAGTAGTTGAGCACGATAGAAAAGATGAAGAAAATATGTCAATATGGACGAGAGTCAGTGAAGGATGATATACAACCTGGACAATCACAACCTGCCATCGCGACAGAGATAATTGCCGCTATGGATGAAGCTGGGCGGACGAACAGGCGTATTACTGAGGATTTTATCGCCGTTACAGTGCGTGTTAGTCACGGCTTCATACACATGATCCTTCAACAACATCTCCTCCATGACTAAATTGGTGCGCCTAAACTGGTGTGGTTCCAAAGTGTCTGACAGATGAACAGATGTGTACATGCATGAATCAGTCACTGACATAGTTGTCTCCATGTTGTGCAGAATGTAGTCTTTTTCTGTCCGTATTGTCGCTAGAGACGAGTCTTGGCGCGATCATTTGGAACCCGTTTATTGATTCTCATAATGAGACTAGGCGAGACATATGACAAGGTACTAAACGCTCCTGACCATTCCAGGGAAAGAAGGAATGACACTTGTGTACTATGCGAAAAGAGAGATCTACATCTCCATCTAGTGGTCTGAAGGAGAACTTCACCATTTCCCTTACTCTCTTAAGTGCAACTTGGGCACATTGGAACATCGTATCAGTCCATCGATGATGAAATGGCAACATTGGGGAGACACTGCATTGCCAATATGTAGCTAATTTTGGCTTTTTTGACCGAGATATAACTAACGTACCCAAATTTGGTCCAATATAGGGCCAATATCAGGTGCTACTACGGACATCGTAAATGTGGGAATTCAACATAGTCCCTATTTTGATCCAAGGGTGTGATACCTTGTGGTATAGATACTAGTTGAAGTGGTGGATTTTATTAAATAACGAGAATTGTGTGGTTTTTAATATTACTTAAGTCTTTTTGTTTTTGGCTACATAACTTGATTCGCTGAGGTTCCAGATTTTGAAAATATAGTCAAAGTTCAATTTTGCTTGTTTCAGTATCAAATTTTTTCATAGTCGCTCCTCCAAGTTCTGATGTAGAGCATTCATCATAGATGGAGAGAGGAAGGCAGAACAAATTTGATGAGATCTCGTCCTATGTTATCGAGTAATACGATATCTATGCAGTATTTCTTATAATGTAACTGACCTTTGATGCCTTTCATTCCCTTCTCGGCCTTAGCACCTTTTGTTCCTTTGTTGCCTTTAATTCCTTTGTCTCCCTTGGTACCTTTTTCACCTTTCATTCCTACACAGAAACGAAAAGTCAATCTCATAGAGCAAGCATCATTTGTCGTTTTATGTTTTTTTGAGGGGGGGGGGGGGCATAATCTTACCTTTATTTCCTTTTGGACCTTTCATTCCCTTTAATCCTTTCAAACCTTTAGTGCCTTTGTCACCCTTCATCCCCTTGATGCCCTTGATTCCCTTCTCCCCCTTGCCACCTGCCATTTCGATAGCTTCACAGTCCATTCTCTTGTGCATTTAGTAACACGTAAGAGTGTTGCCTTACCTTTTTCGCCCTTTAAACCCTTCTGTCCTTTTGTTCCTTTACTTCCCTTCTCTCCTTTGACACCTTTTCTACCTTTCTCGCCCTTGTCACCTTTCATTCCTTTGCTCCCCTTTTGACCTTTCAGGGCTGCAGAAATTAAAAGAGACCAATAGAAACACGTTCCGCGTCATGAACAAATTAAACGGACCTAAGTACAGTACAGGACTGGAGAACTCACCTTTGGCTCCCTTCTCTCCTTTCATGCCTTTTGTTCCTTTTGTTCCTTTCAAGCCCTTCACTCCTTTTTCTCCCTTTTGCCCTTTCATTCCTTTGATACCCTTTTGACCTGTTGTGGAAGAAGCAGAGTTCAATTAAAACCTATCGGCAAAGGAGTTATAGTAATACCATCACGTGGTTTCGTTTTTTTTTGGATATAAACATGTAAGAGATGGGCCAAGAAAATGCAAGACTCTCCTACGATAGTAAAATTCTCCATCTGCATTGGTACAATTTCAGTTAGGGACATTCGCACGGGCTCTTTCACTCCTGAGATGACAAGTAACTAATAGCGTTCTTCTGAAAAATGTACCTCGACAGACAGTTCCTTTTTTTAGCTATGTGGACTCCACTTGAACATCGTGACTTGCAATCATTTCTTCTGATTATCGTCCTTCGGAGCCCATTCTATTTAATATTTATAATTTTTTGCGTTTGCTTTTCTAATATTAATAATTTTCTAATAATACTATTCTAATAATTAATTGAATTAATGAAAAAAATGGTGCTGTAGCAAATCATTTCCAGGCCACTCTCTTGAACATGAAGCTCACTCAACGGTGAGAACGTTAGAGTTACCTCATCAGCTTTCAAATAAGAGTCCCTTTCATTCTGCTTTTATGCTCATTTCAACATTTTCCCCCCGAAAAAGGATGTGAACTATTTATTTCATAATTGATCTAAATCAGGGATTAGTCGTACTCTTGTCTTCTTCAATTGTTTCAACCACACTGTTTAATCTTCCTTTCATCCAAGGATTGATTTTTTTGGTATAAATATGGCTATACCCTAAAAAGTTTCATGCAATGTGATAGGAGGGAGGATTGGGGACTCGAGATCAAGCTCACCTTTTTCCCCTTTCATGGCTTCTTGGCCCTTTATGCCTTTCGTCCCTTTGACTCCTTTCATGCCCTTTTCACCTTTGGAACCCTTGGTGCCCTTCATTCCCTTTAGTCCTTTTTCTCCTAAGGGAAAAAAAAATTAAAGCCCGATTGAGAATTTAATTTAACATATTGATGATTAATCTTTACTGCTTTTGATCAAATTTTTTGGAGCAGAATCTTACCTTTTATTCCCTTTTCTCCTTTTCCTCCTTTCATGCCCTTCATTCCTTTCAGTCCTTTCACTCCTTTTTCTCCCTTATGACCTTTCTCGCCTTTCGTTCCTTTCGTACCTACAGTTGAATGTCATTCATAACGCGTTTTGCTCCACGAACCATGAGACAATAGGTGCATCAAGTCTTGCTTACCTTTCAAACCTTTGATGCCTTTTTCTCCTTTTGTGCCTTTGGACCCTTTCACCCCCTTCTCGCCTTTGGTCCCTTTTGCACCTTTCATTCCCTTTAAGCCTTTTTCTCCTTTTAAGCCTGGCACAATTTCAGATCAATTAGGCTAAAGTCTTAGGGAAATATTCAGATACCAGCAAGAATACACTGAGCAGACCTTTCAATCCTTTCATCCCTTTCTCGCCCTTCACTCCTTTAGTTCCCTTTACTCCTTTCATTCCTTTTTCTCCTTTCACCCCTTTGGTTCCTTTTGTACCTTTTTCACCTGCACGGGATAAAGGGATACATTTGCTGAATTTATTCACTACCTCAGAATATTTGGACCTTTAGTTCTTCTGAGTTCTGAAACGATAAAATCGTAAATTCTATTATTTGCCAGAGACCTTAAATCTCTGTGATATTTTGATTGTGACTGAGAGCAGAATAGGTGCTCGGGCATACGACAGATTACCTTTGATGTACTCACCTTTTAGTCCTTTCATCCCCTTTTGCCCCTTCAGTCCCTTCATGCCTTTCTCGCCCTTCGTGCCTTTAAATCCTTTCATTCCCTTCTGTCCCTTGATGCCCTTTTCTCCTTTAGCACCTAGGAAATCGATTGGGATGAATAAGAATACTGACACGCAAATCTGAAAGAGAAACTGGAATAGTAGAATGGAATCACCTTTTAACCCCTTCATGCCTTTGCTTCCCTTGATAGCTTTCTCCCCTTTCTCCCCTTTCATACCTTTTATGCCTTTCTCTCCTTTTCCTCCCTTCGAGCCTGCGTGGATCATATGTATACTAGAAATGAGATAGTAGAGGTGTGGAGTTTCGATCGCAGCATAGACACTTGCCTTTTAAGCCTTTAATGCCTTTCATCCCCTTCATTCCCTTATCGCCTTTCATGCCCTTCACACCCTTCATGCCTTTCAATCCTTTTTCTCCTTTCTGACCTAGAAAAAAAAGATATTTAATTGTATAATTAGTCAAGTTTGCTGCTGCAGCGAGAATGAAACGACGGAGAAAGACTCGGATAGTCATCTGAATTCAAAGTTATAAGCATAAAAAAGTACAATAAGAAGATTCACTTACCCTTCCAGCCCTTTGCTCCCTTCTGGCCTTTTTCTCCTTTTTCTCCTTTCTTGCCTTTCATACCTTTTGTACCCTTGTCGCCTTTAGCTCCTTTTCCTCCAGACATTCCTTTCATGCCCTTCATTCCTGAGGTAAAAGTTTCAGGGATATCAATTACAATTCCTAAAATTGAATTAAGTTCTAATTAAAGCTGTGCGATATGGGTTTTAAAGGCATTGATAACACCAATGAAATAACCGAGCAATATCGAAATACCATCAATCCCATGAGTCAGAATCGTAAAAGCAGTGGAAAATGTTTCATGTTGTAGATGGGAACTAAACGTTGCTATATAATGGAGTTCACATGCAGCGAATGAACATCGGGGTGTCAAGAACTTGAGCATGATGGCTCAAAAAGTATCCGTTAAAGTAAAACCAGGAAGAAAAAAAAAGTAACATTATCTCGGTTCTCCGACGGTCAATTCCCCGTTTGTAAATTTCTTATTGATGAATTCTACGATGGCGGCACAAAGGTATTTGCTTCCAAAAAAATAGTTTCCACTCCCCACATCATATATTGAGGAGTGAGGGGGGGAGGGGAAGCGGTCGCCCCCCTAACCGAGCCGGAACCGAAGCGAGGGAGTTCAAGGCGAACGGAAGGAAAGGGGGAAAGTCGCTAATCTTCTCTAATCCTGGATGGGAGGAAATAATGTAATTATTTGCCTTCAACCTTAGGAAACTTGGTTCGTCAAGGGAACGGCTACGAATAAAATGCCAGTCAGATCACTGATGAAAATTATCATGGGAAATGAAAAGAAAGATGAAAAAAGACAACAGAAATGTTTGCATGATAATCCTCACAAGTACCAGAGATGAGACGATCGACAAGACGTCCATCAAGATCTAAAATGACACTATATATAGGGATGTCGGGTGGCTCAGGAATCGGAACATGAATTGGTCAGTCCTTGGACTGTGTGAGAGATAGAGTCCATGGATTCATGGAGTTTGTGAAGAGCGAAAGGGGAATGAATTTTCTGTTCCAGGAGGCTATGTGCCCATAAAGAACAAAATGAGCAGGGGTGGACGGAGAACGTATTGGGAGTGAGTATAGAGTTTTTAGAAAGTACTTTCAGGGAAAACATTTCAATAGTAAGACTCCTTTCACCATTAAGTCATAATGAAACTTTTTATTAGGTAGGGTTGTTCTGTTATTTGTGTCATTCTCTTGTGTCTCTTCAGAGACAAGCAAGGGGGTTGGTCATAAATCGACCCTCGGACATGGAGATTGGGGTGGCATTCAATTTTAGGCTATTATCCCTGAGAAATGATTATCGTCATTTGAGCACAACACTCAGATTAGGACTTCACTGGTATCTGAATTTTAGGAAAAAAATTTAGAAAGAGAGAAATTTATTCACGTAAGAGACCGTGTGATCAATCGCCCTCCATCCGCGACCGTAAGTTCGTTGATGTGTAATATTGGGGAACTGACTGTTGGGGGAATTTGCCGTTTGAGGAATTGTCCTGTCGGGGAAATGACCGTCGGGCAATTGACCGGACACCCAGTATCTCATATTGACCCTACACAATCTCTATTGACTTTTAACCCCACCAAATGAGCACTGTAGGTTTCTCTGCCTTCTGCAAGGAAGATGACGTACATGAAAAATCTGAACTGGAACGTCGGGTTACAGATTTCAGAACTGCACTCAGAAAAGAGGCTAGGCTAATTCTAGTTTTCCTCTTTTTTTGCTCATATTTCTCCTTTTTTACTCTGAAAGAGCAGAAAGAAGAGAAAACTGAAGCAAGTATCTTCTCTTTTCTTTATCCTCAGAGTAGAAAGGAAGGGAAACTAGAGCCAGCGCTCGCGGATAGGGGGCGCTTCACAGAAAGTCGTTTCGCAAACGAGACCTTTTTGTCGAATGACTGTTTCCTAGAAATGGTACCTTTTCCCAGAATAAAAACAAGTATTCTCGGTGCCTGTTTCGAGAAGAAAAGCCCTGCACGACAGCCTTTTTATGTTAAACCTTTGCCAAAATAGTTTTTAAAAGTCAAGTGAAGTGGATTGTTCGACTGGCCCAGGTCTGGATCCGTTCCAATTATGGCAGCAGCCGGTTTTGCGCTTCTCTTAGCGGCTTCCTTTAGTTCACTTTCCATGGTTCTCACTATTTCTCGTTTGTCGGGAGCATGAACGTAAAATTCAGATAGCCGTTTTACAAAGTCCATTCCAGCCCTAGTAGCGGACACAGAGTATCCCAAGTAACACAAGATATTCCAGCAACGTTTAGGAAATGTTGATGAACAATTATGTGTAAATGTCCAAATCGTCAACGTTGCTCAAATGTTGGGAAGGAACATTGCATTTACGTTGAAAATCGTTACTTATTCATTACATATATGTTGCAGAAACGTTTCAGAATTTATATTGCTGCAATGTTGATTAAAAACGTTGCTTCACGGGCACCTAATCTGGGCCTATATTGGCATTACGGAGAAGCGGAGAACTGGACCGATATTCGACCAATATTGAATTATTTGTTTCATCCTTTTGTACCATATACTTTACCTCTTTACCCAGAAATTCTCATCAACAGGACGAAGCCTGTACTGGTTTTACCTTCTACCCATGCATAATACAGTATCTGTATCGTGAACAGGCAGGAGACAGTACATTTTTGGAGGTGATCTTCCCCTGGATGTGCTAAATTGCATAATACAGGAAAAGGTCCGACCGCAATGTTCTTTGGAGTGTCCACGAGATCAATCCTTCGTTTCCTCAGCTATTACCCAGGATGAGGATATGAAGTATTGAGATAGCAGACTCTCTACCATCGTTTTTATTACCCTGTAGGATGAATTCGACGAATACTTGGAGAAGGGTTCTTTTTGGGAATATGAGCTCTTTTCTATCTTGACCCCATTATTCTGTCTGGAAAATGAAGATAACAGGTGATGAAGTGTCCGTGTTCATTGATTCCTATAATGAGACAATGTGAGACATATGGCAAAGTACTAGACATTCCAGTGCGGAACTATTCCAGGGAAAGGGAGAAGGCCACTTTTGTGTACTGTGAGAAAGCGAGACTTACGTCTCCATCTCGTGGCAATGAGGACAACTTTACAATTCTCTAAAACTTCTAAGCCCATGTTGTATCAGAATTTTGTCGCTACGTTGTCGATGTCAAGAGCGTCAACATTCTCTCAATGTTGATAGCTAATGTTGCAACATTCGTAGAAGTGTCGCAGCAACATTCCAAGTGAAAACATTGAAGCAATGTTTTCTCAATGTTGTACAGCAACTTGCAACATAGAGCAACATAGGCAACATTTCGAAAACGTTTCATCAACATACTGTGTTACTTGGGTACCCTCATGAATGCGACGCCCAATATACACTTCCGTTCCTTCCTATCTTGTATCCATTGAATATGTAAGTCCATATGCTGAAACCTTCGCTGGTTAAGGGTCCTTCAGGAATACATGGACTCCTATGGGACAACAAAGCTCTTTAGCTTAAAAGCTCCTTTATCTCCCCTAAATGAGGTTTGTGCATTCGGACCATAGCCTCCCACCTTTGACTGATGCTGGCCATGTTTTGAAGTCACTAATTCCATTGCTGAAATCATAAATGGCACCGTCGCTGTGCAAGCTTCTGCAAATGATATCTTTAAGCCTTGACGGTTGCAAGGTCTTCAGCTCGGCCCGTGTAAGCAGGTCCTGTCTAGCCAACTACTCTCTACGAAACGATCTTTTTGGCTAAAACCGGTTATTCGGCGAAGCGACTAGTCTGCGAAAAGGAGCTTTCGGTGAATCAGTTTTCTACGGAGCGCCCCAGTTCTGCGCTCGCTTGCTTTAGAGTTCAGACCGAAAGTCCAGATGATGGGAAAAGAATTGGCATTGGCAGACGTCGGGAGAGACCGTCCATCCCCAGTCTCCAAGGTCATGAAGAAGGCCTGGGCAGGCCTATACATAGCTCAAAATTTATGGATCGATTTAAATGAGTCATACTACGTAAAACTTCAGACAATCAAGACTAATGACTATTATCCTGATTTCCTGAGCTAGCTCACCCAATATAATATTGTACTAAACAGAGTACTTGATCAAATGGGACCTAGGGGAAGATCTGCAAACGCTTTGAGGATTTACTTTTCGTTTTCTGTCTGAAGTAATTCATATTAATTTTGCGTCCTGTCCGACACGGTGACCGAGCTTCTCACGTCGCCGTCGAGTAGAGAGAATAACTTAGATTCTCCTTTTCCATAAACAGATCGCAATAAGTACTCAAACGCTGGATGGCCGTTTTTAAGCACAAAAATTCGGAAAAATTATGCTGATGAAAATTATGGGTAAAACCTTTCTGAATCCTCCTTCTTCTAGGTTTCATGGAAGGTATGTCAGGAATTTTTCGAGGACTTCAGTGGACGCAACAATTATCAATAGAAATTAGAGAAATGTTGATGGCTTATACCTTTGAATCCCTTCATGCCTTTGTTGCCCTTCATGCCCTTCGTTCCTTTGTCTCCGGTCATCCCCTTCATTCCCTTCATCCCCTTCATGCCTTTCTCTCCTTTGTTGCCAGTTATACCCTTTTGTCCGGTCGTACCTGTAGTAAAATTTGTACTTCAATAAATAATTACTTTAAAAGGGAAAAATGAGGATTGGCATACCTATCATTCCCTTCATTCCTTTCATCCCCTTCATCCCCTTCTCTCCTTTGATAGTACCTAAAATACAGGAAAAGAGAGAAACACATATCATATTCGTCCTACCCCGATAAGATGAAGCCATTCATTCGTGAAAGGGAAAGTTGTATAATCGCGCAGAATATCCAATGAATTTTTTCATATACGTAAGTCCTGATGAAATATTTATTCACTAGTTCTACGTAACAGTAAAATCTTTGCGGTACGTCTATTGGTAACATAGAAAATCAATCCGGTTTCTCTCGTTGCAAAACTTACGGAGAGAGTCGAGAATTTTTTTTTTTTTTTTTTTTTTTACAGAATTCAGCACTTCCAGGTACTTACTCTGTCGAGACTGTCGAAACCGAGGCAAGAGCGCAATTGCAACGTTCCTTAGAGAATTCTCGAGACGCGAATCCGATTCCTCCTTGATCGTATCAGTAAACTCGTCTATGTCTGGACCTGGAAGTGCAAAAAAAAATCCACTCACCCGCTCAGATTTGTGCTTCACATCTAAGACCAGCTATTTTTTGTCTTTATTAAGGTAAGTTGTGGAACGAGAGAAGTCGGAATGCTGCACTGCCAATTTCGTGTTTCAGACCATGGAAGATACGACGTTCAAAAATCCAAAAAGGATGTTTCGCTATCGTTACGTGCTTGTAATAAAATCAGATAATTACACAATTTCGGTAAAACTGAAATGAGCTGAAGAATACAAAAAAAGTCAACCTGGAGGAGAAAATGTGACTAAATTGAAACTAAGATGCAGGGCAATTAAAGACCATATCACGAGCAATATAGCCCAATAATTTGAAGACTCTCGAACTGATGTTTTCTTCATAAAGACGCACACTCATTTTCTTTTCAAGCTCTATGGTTGACTCTTTAAAATAGTGCAGAGAGCAAAGTTATATGGACAAGTACTCTGATGTGCCCATTTTCGCTGATTGTAAATATTACAGAGAACTGCAGATGATCCAATTTGTGTTACGAATCACATCCCCATCAAATTGCCAGGTTTTAGACATGTTTCTCTCAGGGAAACCTTTGACTGGAGATGTGCAAGGAGTAGTAAGTATTTTCGGCATTTTCATTACTTACTGTATTGGCAGATGAAAGCCCTCATTCGAGTGTCATTGGTGCAGCCAAGATCGGCGAGATGAAACATCGGCGTTGTCGTGGAGCCATTGTAAAATCCTAGACATTCCTGAGGGAATGCCTGAGTGAACGAGTCAGGTTGATTGGAAATGTCCCATACGCCTGATGGCACCCCTACACTCATCCATCCAGCGATCAGGGTCGTCCGATTCTGTTGCTCGTAATTTCTGAGGGGGAAAATTAAGTCTTTAAGGGAGTCGGACGAACACCATCAATGCGATCCAATCTCATTGAAGACGGGGGATACCGTTGTTAGTCAGGGAAAATGGGCGTAAAAGGGTAACGGGACATGAATAAAGTACTGAAAGAAGGAAACAAATGAAATACAAAATCAGGATGAGTAGGGGCATCCTTTTTTTTTTTTAGCTACCTCTGGCACCGACGATAGACCCTCTCGACAGTTAAATCAGGTGGAACTGGTTATTTTCACTGTTCCAGATATGTCAATCTCTCACGATCGTAGTATCAATTAGTCTTTTTTTTTGTTTACAAGTAGTTTTCATTTGCATTGCCTAGACTCTAGATGCTGAATGATTTCGTTTCCAACATTAGGCAATATCCCAACTGGTCATGGCAACCCTCGGGTGCAAATGCCTCACCCTCTTTTCAAGAGAGCATCAATTTTTTTTATAGGCAACATACGCCCTTCGGCATCGCCCCAGGCAAAATAAATATTCACTCTGGATTTCCATTAATGGTCACTCTCCAAACGCACTCTTCGGAGATTCATTCCCACCTTTCATGAGTGTCGCAATCTTTCCACTACGGAGAACACATCCAGTTGTAGGTCTGGCCACCGTCGTTTGCGCGTGCGAGGAAAACTTGAGGTTATTATCGATAGAAACCCTTAAGTCTCTCTTTCCTTTGCCTCCCCCAGTTTAACCTCGCCGAACATGTCGAGATACCTACCGCTATTTCGACCAAAGTGAAGAACTTTACTCTTACTTTTATTAAACTTCATGAGCTATTTCTTGCTCCATTCATCCAAAAGACTTAAACCTCGCTCGGTTCTAGCCCTATCCGCCTCCACCCTTACGGTAAAACCTATCTTGGTGTCGTCAGCAAATTTACTTATCTTACCCGCTACGCCTAGATTCAAATCGTTTATGTAGACCGAAAAGAATAGCGGTCCAAGGACTGAGCCTTGTGTCGCTCTATTCCTGTCAACCAGCTACTGATCCACTTGCTCGTCCTACCATGGATCCCATGGGCCTCCAGTTTAACCCGCCATCTTGTGAGGAACGGTATCGAAAGCTTTCGCGAAATCTAAATAGAATTTCCACAGAATTTCCCTTATCCCTCTCTTCCGTCGCCCAATCGCAGAATTCGAGCAAATCGGTGAGACAATTTCGACGCCTCCTAAGGCCGTGTTGAGAGTCCCGAACGAGCGCGTTTTCTTCGAGGAAATCAAAGAGGTGATCCCTTAGGATCCTCTCCATGATCTTCCCTGGAATACTCGTGAGACTTAGCGGCCTGTAATTCCCTGGATTACTCTATTCACCCTTCTTAAAGATCAGTACGACGTTCGCTAGTCTCCAGTCCTTAGGTACTTCCCGGCGCGAAAAGCTGCTTTCAAATATAATTCTTAGCGGAACCGATATTTCTCTCGCTGTTTCCTTGATGACTCGAGCAGGAATCCTATGGAGGCCGGCCGCCTTGCCCACCTTCAACTTCCCTTCATACTCATGATCGTCTCCTCGGTGATGGAAACATCCTCAATGCGTGCCGAGGTCACCTTCTCTCAACACGGCTTTAGGAGGCGTCGAAATAGACTCACCAATTTGCTCGAATTCTACGACTGGGCGGCGGAAGAGAGGAATAAATGGAATCCCGTGGACATCGTCTATTTAGATTTCGCGAAA